GGTTGAGGAACCCTGCTGTAAAATACTTCTCTACATTTCCAGTGCCTGATTCGACTCACATACATGTAGAACTTATTAACTTTCAGCACATTGTTTTGAGATGCTGTACATACGGTAGTTGTAGGTGAAGAAACAAAACCAACTGGGCTGTACTTGCATACTGCACATACATAGCAAACTCACTTGTGAAAATGCTTTGCTTGGCTACTTTTTAGAGTAGCCGAACATGCAAACATTTAAATAGTTAAAACCTATTTTCCTGTTGAAACAATTCAATTTCTAAACTTTATGCAAAAGGCTGCTGTTGAAGAAGAAGAAGCAGAACTATGGGGCGGGGTGGGGCAAGGAGGACAGGAGAGGAAAGGAGAGGCAACGCTAAGAGGCTCTGTAATCAAAAGTTAACTGCTTCAGCATAGCAGTTGACAATAATGAGATCTATGCAGTGCTTCCTATGAGTAGCCTTCTCTTTAAAGGGCTGTAACTCACACTGGTCAAGTCAGTAAACCATAATTCAGTACTGGAGCATCTGCTTTGCACAGAGAAAGCTCCAGACTCAATCAATAGGATTTTTAGTTAAAATGCCTTAGGGAATCGAATCATATAAAAGACTTCTGCCTTCAACTAAGTGCAAATTCACAACTTTTCCTGTTACAGACACCTGCTTAATTTGTTTGTCTTTGTTTTTGCTGATTTTTTTCCCTTTAAAAATATTAAAATTAAATCAATTGCAATTATTTCTGTTCTGAGCTACTACTGTTATTTGGTTGAGAAGTGTCGGAAATGTTTAAAATAAATGAGGTGAAATATAGACATTGCATCAAATAATGTATCAAAAGCACTGAGAATGAAATTCTAAGCAACCAACGGCTGAAAGCAACTGCCTTTTATTGACATGATACGGCAAAAGGATATTTGCCAGAGGTTTAAAAAGAATATTTGTTGTAATAATAACTAGGAAAGTTTCTGTAATTTAGCACAGTATTGAAAGTTCAAGAAAACATATTTTATAAATCTGAATAACACTCCTTTTTTTTACTTTTTAATTTTTCCTAAAAAATCTTAAGTTAAAATGGACCTAAAAGAAAAGACAAATAACTATCTTTGACAAAAGTAGGAATGATATTTTCTGAGGATTTGTGATGCAGTCTAGTTTAAACAACAGAATGCACAGGTTTAGTAAACACAGAATAGGAAGTTTGACATCTTTTCAATTTAAATGTTAAATCTAAACAGTAAAATGTACATACGGGCAACTACATAAAGACAGTAACCTGACCAAAAATAATCAAATGGATTACTGTGGATACAGATCTTTTGGTTCAAATAAAACCTGCATTAAGAGCAAAAGCATGGGTCAACCCAACACAAGATTGTTAGTTTTGCTGGGACTTTTATGTCCATAAGGCTATTGGAGAACATGGACAATTTACAGTTTTTAGGGTTTTTTAAAGTGAAATCTTATGTTTCTGGTGGTTTCAACCTGGTCTGGTCATAGTAGTGCAATGTATTTTCCATAGGAAATGATGGTAGTGGCAAAGATCCCACCCTAGAGATGCTAAGGTTGGGAAGCAGATACAAAACCCTAAAAACATTATTGTCTATATGTAGACATCAGAATCCTGTTTCTTTCTCCCCATACATTTAATGGTTTTGTAGAAATAGTAAGATGGCTGTTATTAATCAGTTTGGTCATACTATGTATAACATTCATCTAGATTGGAAACAAACATTCAAAATGCTCAGAACACCTCTGTTTATAGCTCAAAAATGGTCCCAAAATGCTCAGAACAGATTGTTTCACGCTTGAAACAGCAGTTTTACACTCAAAACGGGACATTTTGTGAAATTTCATACTTGAAATCTTTAAATATAAAATGTTTAGCACACCATTAAAACACAATGCAAAGACATACAAAAGAACATTACACTTTCTGGATGAACCGTTAGCTGATCTCACATCCTGATCAGTTATGACACCTGCTAAACTTTACCCTTCATAAGCAAATTGAAGAAAATCTTCAATCTTTCATTTTGAATTTAAAAACCAGCCCATTCAAGTTTTGAACGAGTGATTTTGGTGAAGGTAAAAGCATTTCAGAGGTAGTAAAGACATATTCTTCATTACTCTACTTGGCCAATACAAAACTAAAATTAGGAAGATGATCAATTTGTCCTTACTTTTGAGACAGGAGATAATGATCCCTGTCAGTAGCTGGATTCTCACTGCTATGATCTATAATTGAGCAGTTATAGCAGAATAGGGGTTGGAGCCAAGTTTCTCTCTGGCCTTCATCATCTTTAATTTTCTCCAGTGCTCATGGAGCTGATACATTTTTTCTGTGATACTTGCGTAATGGAGGTTCATAATTGTGTGCTCCTAATCGTTCATTTGCTGCCATTCATTAAGTATCTGGAATTCAGAATTTTATCTTCATGAAACGGAATCTTAGAACTGTCAGCTATTTTCTTTTCTTAATGTATTATCTCATGCTTAACTTGAATAATGATTTGTATCAAAGTATTTTGTTTTCGTAAAAAAAAAGGTATTTCAAGCATGACTAGAGAATGGATAACTTACAATGGCATACTTTAGATGTTAACCTCACATAACTGATATACTTCAACAATATAATGACTTTTAAATAGTGAGTTAGATTTTTTTTTTCCTGCTAAAAAGATGTTCATTTCTAACAAGGATAATGAAGCACAAAATCAGATTTCTATAAGCAGGATGTCTTTCTGGGCCTGCCAAAAGAGTTATATACCCAATATCAAATATGAATATGAATGTGTGTGTGTGTGTGTGTGTGTGTATAACGAAACTTCCTACATCAGGCCATATTAAATAAGAAGTGCGTTCAGTTTTGAAATTTTCAAATACTTGGGATGGATGGATGAGTTAATTAGTTACATCCAAGCTTGTTATTTTTATGTTTCAGTTTTAACAGGTGATTGATGTTAACAGACATGAAAATGCTAGAAACGTGTTAAGCAGATTAACTGATAAGAAATCTGTGCACTTCAGTTAAGTTCACATGATAAAAAAATGTACAATGAAACCATATTGTTTTTTTTAAACTAACTGCATTATGTTTGCATACTAAAAAAAATAGGTACTGTGAAACAAAACAAAAAATAACCCCTTTCATTCAGAATCAATTCCCTACTGCTCTACAGATTATTAATCAATACTAGTATTGGATGGGTAGAATACTGTAGAAAAGAATAACTTAACTACATTGTTCTTGGTTTTTGTTTGAATGATTATTTTCAGGCAAAGGAAGTGCTGACAGGGTCAGAGAAAATACTGACACACTACCTCTGAATATAAACTTTGATACAAATCAAATACATGTAATATTGTTTGCAAACTAACATGTGTTGCAAATGTACAAAAAGGACTTGCATTTGTCCAGTGGGAACTTTCAACGACCAAGTAATGTACATAAACAAGGGTACCTGCAAATTAACCTATGATACTATCTATCTCAATAAGAGAAGCACAACCTGAGGTCAGTGTATTGCATGGTGCCCTCAGAGACTTTCCCAAAATTGCTACCAAACTGCAATGTTTAATTTGACAGAAGGGAAAATTATAAAATACACACAGAGTAATCATACTAACCATATGTAATAGGGATTAATTAATTTAATTGAAATTAAATATAATTAAATTAAAACTATTTTAGTTTTTAGCTTGGTTTATATGTTTTGGGGAATGCAGTCCAACCCAACCATTCAACATGACTCTTCGTTTGAAAGAAGTCACACATCCTGACCTAAATAAAAAGTTCACCGATGTGAAACGCTAGCAGCATGTCCATACCAACCTTCTCTTTGGGGTGCTTTTACTTTCACAGCAATTGTCTCCCAGTGTCTCTAAATAAAGACGTTGTGTCCTCATGACTTACCCAAACTACTAGAACAGAATATCAGCCTGGTACACATCATCACATGTCATATTTTTCTATTAGTCATCAGTTGCTGTTTCCCAAATTTTAGCAAGCAACAACATGCTTTCAGAGAAACCTGAAATTTCAAATGTTGGCTGAGAAGCAATACTGAAAATCTGCTGGAAAGTAGAAAGCCCTGCTTGAGAGCCTGAAGTATATCTCATGATTCATGGGATCAAGGCCAAAAGTCCTCTGTTTTTTCTGAACACTGTAATTATTTGTGTTGCTTATTATATTAACAATCATGGATGTTCAAAATAATTATTAAGTAGTAAATCTTGCCAAGTTGAAAGACAATGAGTTCCAAGGCTTATCTTGATATAAACAATCAATTTCAACTGCTTGTTAAAAAGCAGAAATGTCCACAGTTGATATTCCTTCATAGGTGTGTTGCATAAGTGTGTCTTTAACTGGAGTCTTTTCCCAATCAGATGTCAAGCAGGTCTTCTCCACTCTCATCACTCTCTACAGTAAGTTGCCTTGTCCACCACTTCTTAACTTCTGATCCACATGAAGCCACATCTGACATGGGATTCATTTTGCACACAACAGACTTCATAGTTGTTCGACCACCAATTCTTATATTGACTGAAGACACTGAATGGCTTATTGGCTTTGGGGCTAGGAAATTAAAGAGAAAAAATATTTTCTGCAAGCAGATGATCATCAGGCTAAGCAATTATTTTGAAATTCATCAATTTCCTTGATGATGGAAAGTGGATTTGTGGCAGAATACTTGCCATCTCCTAAGCCTAGTGAAAAGATTTTTTAAAAAAGATTTTTTATTTAATTACCCAATTACACCAACAAGAGGAAACACAATGTCAGCTCCAAGGATTTTTTTCCCTCCCTTTTCATGGGTTTGTCAGAGGAATGAGAGGCTTTTGATTCCGTGAACCCAAGGTTTCCATAATTTGCTCCTTGTTACAACATTTTCTCCTCTACTGAGAGCAAAACATTGCTGGGATAAATCTAGGCTGAGGGGATCCCCAAAGACATAATTCTGTCTCATTGTAGGAGCTACTCTGTACTGATGGAGGTACCTTTTCCCTACTGTGTCCTGCCATCTGTTGGAAGTCAGCTGATAAGCTGTAGAGCTGTACTGTATCTTCACAGTTTTTCTATAATAGTGAAAGTGTTTTTATACATACTGAAAGTTTTCATAATAAAAAAAAGAAAGATTACTTACAGTTGGAAACAAAATTTTAATAAACCTAGACCTGTCCAGTCAATATAGTGTAGTATAGTGATTAGAGTATTGAACTGGGACTTGGAAGGTTGAATTCAAGTCCCACTTGACTAATTTGGGCCACTAACTTTCTCTCAGACCAGCATATTTCACATTGTTTTATTGGGAGAAAAAACTCCCAGAAGAAGCTGAGCTTCCATAAGAAATAATGTAATGGTAGTACAGGTACTCCTCAGTTAATGATGGCAATTGGGACTGGAATTTCCGTTGCTAAGCAACATGGTTGTAAAGTGCAATGTCATGTGACCATGCCGCTTAGTGATAGCAGTTCCAGCACTTCCGGTTGCAATTGTTAAGTGATTCCTGCACTGTTGTTAACTGTGATGTCACGTGTTCCTCATTTGTGACCTCCTGTTGGCTTCCCTATTGACTTCGCCTGTGGGAAGCTGGCAGTGAAGGTCACAAATGATAATCACATGACCATGGGATGCTGCAACATCGAAATTCCGAGCCAGCTGCTGAGTGCTCAGATTGTGATCATGTGACTGTGGGGATGCTGCAATGACTGCAACTATGAGGGCCAGTTGTAAGTACCACTCATTCAGTGCCGTTGTAAGTTCAAATGGTTGCTGAATGAGTGGTTGTTAAATGAGGACCACCTGTATTAGTAATGATATTGATAATAGTAATAATATAGACTTTTACCAATGTATATTATAAATGTGTACTGAAAAAAATATTATATGAAAAAAATGACCTACTATACACTGGTTTTTTTCAAATTATCCAAGTCTGAAGTTCTGATCTCTTTTAACTATGAGTCTACTGAGTACATCTTTATGCTTTTGAATCAGTACATTAAAAACAGAAGCAGTGCCTTGCTGGATCAGACCCCTGGCCCATCGAGTCCAGCAGTCTGTTTTTACAGTGGCCAGCCAACCACACAAGGAAGCCAATTAGTCTTCTAGCAGATGGCCTTCAGAGGCAGTCACCCTGCCATCAAGGCTAATAGCCATTGATCCCCATGACTTTCATGAATTTGTCCAACCCTTTTTTGAAGCCAGCCAAGCTGGTACCCAGCACCACAACTCATAGTAGTCATGAACCTTTGAGGTGTGAGCCTTTTATGCTGTTAACTCTCTGACTCTATAAAGCCTAGTTGTTTGTAGCCCCAAGATCTTAACTTATTGCTGCTGTCACTTATTGCCGATGCTCATGTTATTGCTTCAGTTACTCTGTGTAAGAATGAGAATTATTTATTGTAATTGTTATTTGAATATTGAACCGTTTGAGTGGCAGAAATTATTCTGCTATAATCCTAGTTCAACAGAACATTCCCTACTTACTCTATTTAAAATGAATTTATTGAACAATGTATTCTAACATATTTCCATCCAGGCACTCAGACTTGGGATTTTCCTCTTTCTTTCTGGAGTCAGCAAGGGCCTAATTGAATTAAAATTCTGGATTCTACACAAATAGTCGCTCTTTGAGTAAAATGGGTGGTGACTAAATTTGAAATATAAATAAATAAAAAAAATGCTATGAACTTAAGAGTCCATTTCTTATGGATAAGTGGATTTCAAACTATGCCTGTAAGAATCTGGGGATGTTTTTTTCAGGAGATCCTCAATAAGAATATGGTTTTGAGTCAAGACTGATGATCTGAGGGGATAAGTTAAGGTGAGATAGTGATTCAGAATTCCTTTCAACGCACAAGGTTTCTCTTGAGAGGAAGGAAGTTTGAAACTGGCTCACATTAGGACAGAATAGGAATACTTGTTCATCTCCTTTCCTCTTGAGGCTGTATTTGTCACATGTTGCTGTAAGATGCCTAGGATTATCATGCCTAAGAGAGGCAGCCATATGTTTTTTAAATATAAACAAACATTCTTTTGATGATTTTCAGAGCCATATCAGACAGAACTCCAACTTTCATTTACCAAAGGCCTTTTGTATTTATTTCGTACTCCCTTTGATATAGAAAGCTGCTATATCAATATTTTGAGACCATGCCAGTTTGGGAATGTGCTTTATATCCCTCTTCACTTACCAGATGGCAAACGCCATTGTCCAAGCTTCCGCTGAGGTCTACCAGCCTCACCAGAATCTTGTCGATATCCACCTCTGTCAGAAAGTGTGGGGCTAAGCAGCTGCTGTTCGCTACTCATCTGAATAGAACGAGAGAGAGAGAGAAGGAATTGAAACCTGAAAAAGGCAAAAAGGGCCATTGACTGTTGGCCCTTATTTCACAAACTGTGCAGTTCAAATCTTGTATGGATCATGTTGTTTAGCCTCTTGTGTAATTTCTTTTTGTTAATTTTTTAAAAAGCCATATTCATCATCATTGGCAGAACACAATGCAGATTTCTCAAATGTATATTTGTTAACAATGTTTTCTATGCATGTTTTTTCATATATAATTTTCCCAAGTACATTTTGACACATTTTGCCCAAATACAAACTTCCATACATAGACTCTCAAAGAATGATGGTTGCTGCCTCCTTTAGATACCAATAGAATCTGTTGTGATGGATCAAGCCATTTCACTCCCATTAATATCTGTGTTAAATTTTTTTATATCCTTAGCTACAACTTATTGACAATATAACAACATTTATTGCAACATTAATTGCTAGAAACACTTTATGAAAATGTATTCCAGAATGTTACGGGATGCAATGTATTATTCCAAAATATAAAACACTGGTCACATAAGAAATAAAGGTTGTTTAGATCGGATGGTTGTAATACCCCACTATGCATAATGGATTATAGAAATTATGTATTTTTCAGGCCTCTGGACATTGAACAGAAAAATATGAAACACAGGGGAAGGGAGGGAGGGAGGGAGGAAGAAAAGGCAAGTTTCCATGGCCTATGAACAATATGGGCCCTTTACAATACTACTTGGGGCAGAAATGAATGGAAAGGTAGGCGGTCTGCTCTGGACCTGGTGGGTACCTACCAAATATGTCTCACTCAGATGCAGATGGACTTTTTCTCATATGTTATGTACTATTTGCACAGACTCATGATTTTTCTTAATGTTTCTAGGCCATTTTTTTTTTGTGGGGGGGGGTGCCTTTGAGTGAGTGTTGACTCTTGGCAAGTGCCTGGACCTATCACTGCAGTTTTCTTGGCAAGATTTTGGAAGTGGCTTGCCATTGCCTGCTTCCTAGGGCTGGGAGAGAGTGGTTGACCCAAGGTCACTCAGTTGGCTTCATGCCTAAGGCAGGACTAGAACTGATGGTCTTCTGGTTTCTAGTCTGGTGCCTCAACCACTACACCAAACTGGGTCTCTTTCTAGGCCATTGGCTGAGACCAATTTTTGAGAACAACAATGTGGATGAACCCATACCTCAGGCTGTGCATTGTTATCCTGGTTATTAGCATTCATATCTTCACTCGGCTGCGTTGTCTCAATGCTTGGTGGATTTAGGAAACGGCTTAACTCCTGCTGTTGACTCTCTCGGAGGCTATGGATGATACTGCATGACTGTTGTTGTTTCTAGAAAAATAAGACACCCATAATATATTTTGTTTTCTTTAAAAGTACTTTTCAAAAACACTTGGCAAGGTTGAGAGATATAGAAGGGGAAATAGTGGCTGTGGTGGATGGATGGATGGATGGATGGATGGATGGATGGATGGATGGGATTGAAGAGATTATTGGAATGCTCTTGGAAAAACTATGGCTTGTCACTGGTGACAGGTTGAGATGGTGAGCATTTGTCCACACAGTCACTAGGGGCTGAGCCTGACTTGATGGCATAAAATCAACCAAAGTACTTTTCAAAAAGTAGGATTCTCTTTAAAATGAATTCTTCCTGTTGTCATTTTCATAAGGTACACATAATTTAATTGTATTTCTATCTGCTCTAAGAGACTATTTAAAAACACATTTAAAACAAAATAATCAGAAGAAAGATATTTTCCAAACATCACCTAGAGCCTATTGAAGTATATTGGTTTCAGTCACTTTTAAATAGATTAAGAAAATAACCATGGAGATTCTTACAACATTATCAAACTTGTTGTTCTTTCATGTATTAGTAACAGAAAAGATTCAAAAGGGTTCCCTCAGTGAAATGATGCTATCTTGTGGGACCTAGGAGATGTGCCTTCTCTGTTAAAGCACCTACCCTGTAGAACAGCCTCCCCCCAGACATTAAGATGGTCTTGACCCTATTGGCCTTTTAGGCTATAAAAACTTGATTTTTCTCACAGGCATAAGGGCTGGGTTGTTAGTGGAGCCCAATATAGGTTAATCTGTATTGTGAGCAGCCCAGAGTTATTTGCTTAAGATAAAACATAATAATAAACAAACAAACAATTCTAAATGTTGTCAACATTAGTCTTCTGCCATAATACAGGTAGTCCTCATTTAGCAACCACAACTGGGGCCAGCAACTCCATTGCTAAGCAAAGTGGTTGCTAAGTGGGAAATCATGTGACTATGACTGTGCTTTCTAGCTCAAAACTGACAAGACTAATCAGTTTCCCACCTTCAGCTTTTATTTGCCTCCTAACCACTCCCCCACCCTTTGGAATGCTCACCCAGGTGCTGGGATAATTAACAAGAAGGAAATTAATGTTTGTATTTATATTCATTGGAGAGGAAGGGATACAAGAGAGTAAGCAGGCACACAATGGGGAATGCACACAGAAAGCAAGCGCTGGTGCTGACAGCCGTGAGCACCCTACACAAACAGCCTGATGTATTCACAAGTGTGTGCTGGTTACTCTTGTAATCCTTTTCTCTCCAATCTCTCCACTGTGCGAGGGGGGAAGAAATGGGTCAAACAGGAGAGATTGCCTACAGAAATTGCTTGGTTTTTTCCTTCCTCCCCCCTACTCTCTTGTATTCCCTCCCTCTTCAATCTCTCTGCTCTGCATTTTGGGGGGGGGGGAAGAAAAGCAATAGGTCAGGCACAGAACAATGTGTGCTGACTGTAATGGTGACCACATGACTGAGGGATGCTGTAAAAGTTGTGAACGTGGCCTTTGATCATAAAGTCACTTTTTCAGCACCGTTGTAACTTTGAACAGTTGCTGAATGAGGCAATCAGTAAGCAAGGACTGCCTTTAGATCATCTATCAGTAAGGTTGTAATAAATTGCCAACTAAAGAATTTTATGTAGAATACAAATCCTTCTCTTTTCTTCCAATGTGAAATGGATTTTTTTTCTCATATTCTAGGAATCCAAATTCATTTCAAGCTTTCTTATTTTTTTTTAAATAATGTTTAAATTTTTGGCTTTGTTCTTGATCCAGGGGAAATTGTATAAAAATAAATTTGTAGCATTATCTTCGTAGCAGAAGGGCAAGTGGTTTCACATTATCTTTTGCTGCAAAGCTGCTTCAGAGGTTTGTAGGGGCAAAATCAATGTTTGTGTGTAAGTGCTCTAACACTAATCATCATCATCATCCCTCTGCTTTTTGTTATTTTTCTAAATGTTTTCAATTGTGAGGGCAGAGCTGAGAGAAGGTATTAGCAAAATAAGATGGCAAGGCTCATATCAAGTTTTCACATTGTTTGCACTGAACGTTTCATTGAATCATATCAGTTATTTAGGCACAACTCCTGCAAAATGCAGGATCTGGAGTACAAGAAATATCTCTTAATATTTATCTGAAGTGTACATCTCTGCCATTTCCACCCACTTGCTCAAGTCCTATCTTCCGGAATAATAAGAAAAAAAGTTGCTTTATTTTGTATAATGCTACAATATATCCCCTAGATCTTCCTGCTTCCAAGGTCAAAAGAAAAGCTTGGGAATTTTTGACATGCCTGATGGTTCCACTGCATAATAGAATTTAGTTTCCTTAATCTGTATTATAGGTATTTTCAAAGTCTGTGATATATTCACATAAATGAATTTGTGTGACTCCTTCATGAATAGAACTGGTGATTTAACTGGGGTTAAGGTTGGGCAAGACAAGACACAAATATACTTAGTGCATTTTTCATCATTACATTTAATTCTATGTATCCAGGGATTCTGAAATTTTGCAGTATTGTAACTGCTAGCTCCAGGTTTCATGGTCAAAGTCAGAAGAAAAGCCCAGAGTAAGTTTTGATAGCGCATCTGCTTTGCCAGGGCAACCCTGATCAGATTTTTTTTTAAAAAAGTTCTAAGTTACAACATCTGCCGTGTCTTTACTTAGAATTAGTATGGTCTAATGCACAGGAGCATGTGAGCCTGCAGAGTGCAACTATCTTCCAGATTGTTTTGGCCTACCAGCTATAATCCCTTATGCTGCTGCTTCACTTGTCCTTGTACCTCCTTCATGTATGAGATTCTACTGACTAGAATCAATAGGGATAAAGGCTATATAAGGATTTCTACTTTAATAAGTTACTACATCAAGTAACTTATTAATCTTAAGTTTAATATTTTTAACTATTTAAGTTAAATAGTTCAGTCAATTCAAAGTAATGAATTGATTCATTCAAGAATTGATGCTAATATTTAATTTAAATTTGCACCTCCACTTTTCAAAACTTTTTAATGAGATCTTGCTCCCTTTTGCAAAACTACTCCCATCCCACTATTCAAAGGCTTCTGCAACCCTCAGCCCCAAGAAAAATTGTATCCCTCTGGTGTAATTTATAACAGATTAGATCAGGAACAAAAAGACTTAAGTTCAAATCCGTATGCAGCACTGAAATTTATTGGACAACCTCCAACCCAAAATCTGAACACAACTGCTCTCGCTGGAAAATGTTCTATCTATAAAGAAATAAAAACAAAACTACACAATTTCAAAACTTTTCTCTAGTTTTGGGGGATCCACTGGCCACAATATAGCAGGGCTGCACTAATTGTAATTAAAATAGGCTTGTCATTTGTAATTGTTAGTTGTATATATGTTGTAATATGTGAGCCACCCAGAGTCCCTCATTCGGGGGTGATGGGTAGAGATAAACTCGATGTAATAACAACAACAACATACTTCGGGATGTATAGTAGAAAGTTTTGTACGAGCCCCCATGTTTGAAATAATTTCAAGAAGCATGAATAATGCAGGCTTTGTGAAATGAATGACAACCCTTCGTATGAAAACCAAACACCCTAGGTCCCACACAGTGAAGAGTAGTCAATTACTTCTGTTAAACTTTTAAAATAGCATTTGATAGCATATTAATAACGCAGTATGTTAAACTTACTGCTCTAATGCGCTTCAAGCATTTTTTCAACCACATGCGTATAGTCTGCTTCGCAACTTCTTCCTCTATGGTGTACTCTAGTTGTTCCCTAGCAAGCAGTTCTTCCAGCTGAAGACTTTTTCTGATGTCAACTGATCTATATGACAGCATGCTAAAAGCAATATATATTAATAAATACGAGGTTATCACATTAATTTAAAAAGGGAAAATGACTCTATATAGTATTCACAAACTCTGTATGTGAAAACGATACAGTGTCTTTGGAACATATGTGTTTATTTGGCTTGTAAAGAGATGCTTAATGTCTCTGTGTCCATTGATAATTATATAGTGAGAGTGGTGAAGTAATCATACAACCACTCCATTACAAGGAAATGTGTGATCAGAGCAAATAAAGTTTGGTTGAGGAAGATCCAGTCAAGCCCATGACTTCCATGACTGATTATAGTTCTAATCATGAGCGTATCAACAAATATATTGTTCTCTGGATGGGCTATTTTTTTTTAAACTTTGCTTCTTCTGTTGAAGTATTCATTATTTACCTCTATTCATAATATGAAAGTTGCACTTCTTATAGTACATGATTAAATACAGTAATGAGAAATAGCAATTTAGATATGTGTTTTATGAATAATGAAATAAATGTAATAGATCCCTAAATGAAAAAAAAAAAATTCTTATAAACTGGATTCATATCCTTAGTCTGTTTGGACGCAATGAAATCCTAACTGATGTAGCCATATCTCCTTGGTTAAGCTGCCCTGAGTTGAAGCTTCTGAGTTAACCCAGATATAGGTTTGCAGCCCAGCTGTGCTGTCCAATATACCTCAATACATCATGGAATGTCACATCTCCACCATTATGCAGCCTCTCCATTTCATAGCACATATGCTTGAACAGAAGTTTGTCCTTATCCAGATCTACCTCCAGTCTTCCACGCAATAGCCTCAACAAAAACTTGACTCGGAAAGTAGGAATCACTCCCTAGGAAGAAAGTCACAATTGGAAAGTACTGACACCAGTAAAGAGTTTCATATTTGTCTTTATTGTTCTCCAAATAAACGATTTAGTAACATCGAGATTTTTGCTAGTCCTTTCACTATTATAACTACAATATGAGGTGTTTTGGAGTGCCTGGGCAACAGGGTGCCTGAGCTGAGTTGCAGCAGGAGCAGGAGCAGGAGCAGGAGCAGGAGCAGGAGCAGGAGCAGGAGCAGGAGCAG